ACCTCCGCAACTGATATTGGTGTCTTATCAGCCAGTCCTCAAATCGGATTTCATCCATCTGACCAAAGTAGAACCATTCTCCCACTGAAAAATCTAAGGGATCCCCAGACAGAACCTTCACTTCGTCGCCATTCGCCCAGATCCGTCCTAACTGGTCCGTCAGCGGATTTCCCGCCTGCCACGGGCCCCAGCAGATCGTCCACCGCAGCCACCTCCGCCTCACGTGTCGAAAACCATACAGAAAACCAAGGAAACCCTGAGACCCGTTTGCCCAAAATATCTTCGACCCGTGCAAACTGAAGACCGTGCACAGAATCAAATCCTGCGATCCATTGAGTAAACTTTTTTTAAAGAAGGTGTCGAGGAATTTTCGGGTTGGGTAAGCAACGGTTTGTCCCTGTTAGACTAAAACACACAAGTGCTCACCATAGACTATTGGTAGTGTTGACCGAACCTCATTCGAGAAACACAAAGTCCTTGGGAAAGAGTCAAAAGGGCTTCTTGACATCCACACCTCGTTGTTTAGGAGTTTAGGACTGTCCCCAACCTTCCTCTACCCTGGCTTTGCTTGTTCTTTTTCTCGGGTCTCGGGAATCATCTAATCCTTATGGCTGACGGCCTCTTCCACTGGAAGGGTACCATAGTATCTGGCATGTGTTGTTCGGGGTTTGCCCATTTTTGGAAGGTTCTAGCAGCTCACTTAATCGAGTGGATTTGCCAGCCCAAGTCTGAACTCGTGTTTACCGCTAAAACGATAAACCAAAAACACCAACAACTACGGAAGTAGGCATTACCCCCCTGGGGAAATTGCTTCGACAGGATTCTTATTTGGGGTTAGTGGGGCTTGTCAAAACTCGGGGTGCGTGGCACAAACAAGCCCTGAGTGTATTGTTTACTTGGTTGCAACAGTTAGTGCTCTAAAAAGTTAAACCAAACGCATTCCGATTGGTCTTTTTTTCGGGTAAATCAAAGATATTGCAGTTGAGCTCAGTCAAAAAGCTTAAAGCTCCGGCCCAGCCGAGTCTTTGGGCACCCCCTTCAGAGGCTTTCGGCCCGCCTCCGGCGGCGCCGAAGGCCGCCTCGACGAAGGCGCGGGCGAGGCCGGCGCCTGCGGGTTCCGGGGGGTGGGTGTCGGGGTCGGGGTTCCGGGGCCTTGCCCTCGTCTTGGGGTTCCTTCAAAAATCGAGTTTCGGAGCCCAGAACAGCCAAAACAAAAACGAAAAACGAGCTTTTGGCCTTTGACAGGGTTCAATGGAGACATCCAAACACCGCCTGCTTTGCGAGGATTCGAAAACAGCTAGGCCCCAATGTAGGGGATCGTGAAAAATGGTGGGTTCCCTTGAAGGGGATTTTCTTGGTCACTCACAGAAAGTCTCCTAGGGCCTTTTCAAGTGCCCTTCGAAATCTAAAGTCAGTCCCAACCTGCCGCTTTGGGCAATTGGGGATTTTTCAAAAATGGTGAAGCCCTTTTAGTTGATGGTTTAAGGGCAACCAACAGGCCCTAAGCCATTTGTTGGGGTCGCACCAGTTCGAATGGATGAAAAGCTATGAATCCTGGAAAAAGCCACCTACCACCGGCAGGGCTGTGTCCATCCACAGCATTTTCGAGCAACCCCAAATGGCTTGGGGAACCACCTCCAAAGTGGTTGGTGGACGTTCCCACCAAATATTGATCAACCTGCCTGGCGGGGCGACAGGCCGTAGCGCACGCTCTGGGAGTGCGAGAGCCGCGACCTAAGCGAAGGAGTACCCCACCTACTCGCAATGCCCTGGATGCTTTGGGGGTATTCGTTGAAAAACCGGCCTTTCCCATGTCGAATACCTCCTTATGGTTAGGGTTGACAACATGCTCTTAAAACAGCAGGGATGGATTGGGTGTCAGAATCCGCAAAATTGTTTTGCCTTAGAACTCCTTGGAGCTTCCCGGAACCTCCACGGAACCCGCACCAACAAAGTCCAGCTGCACAGAATACCACCGCACAGAGAAAGCCTTTGCAAAGACATCCAAGAGCCAAGGGCGTGGCTCAAGTTCCGCCAGGCAATCCTCGACTTTTTCAGACTCCCGTTCAAAGTGCCCGTGATGTCGAGGAAGAAGTGCTGCCCCTCTGGTAGCAGCTGCCATAACTTGTGGCCATTCTCACCGCTGAACCATGCGGACAGGGCTGGCGAACACATCCTCTCAAGCTGCTTCCGCTTGTGCCATTTCAATCCCCCGCCCTCCCGGACGTCAAGGGTAGATCTTCGTATGTAGGTCGGCAAACAGTGGCTCTTGACTCACCGGCGAGCCGAATACCGCTTCAAGAGAAACACAACTGAATTGATGCTTTGGACCCGATTTGCACTAGCTAGGAGGGTCGCTTCGCAACTCCAGTTGAAGGAGCCAAAAAACATGATGAGGGTTGACTCTAACTCTGGTGCAAAAACTAGGCTTGCGATAGCCCAACTACGAATATGCGACCCCGCTGACCGAGAAGACACTGACATGCCCGCAATGGGCGAAGTTTTGACCCTGGATAGGTAAACATCTCCGGTGATCTCTTTTGGGAGGAACACTGTCACTCAAGTTCCCAAGTCAGACTTACGAAAGCTTGATATGTCCCCGGATCGCTTTGGCGAAGAGATCTTTTGGGCGAGGTGATCTTCTGTTTGCGAATCTTGGACGCTATGTACGCTCGAATAATTGCATTTTTGGGTCGCTTCAACGTGCATTTCAGATCTTCGTGATTAGAATAGTAGATCCATGGTCATGGTGCCCTCAATAGGACCCCTTACAATGATTGTCCAAATCATCCCAAGTCGCCTGATGACCATCCCTACTGTGTTCAAGGAGTCTCTCCACGCAAACAACCAAAAGGGAGGCTGCACCTTCCAATCTTCATCCACCCCGGCTTTGATTGTGATTCACCACACCTCACATTCATGGGCCAAATGGGCTTCTTCATCTGCCATATCTACCCAGGTTTGATTGTGTCTCGCCTGACCACCCCAAGGTCCAACCCCAACAAAAAGCCGGTTTGGCAGACTCAGACCCTCTGCAAATGCTGTATACAGGCACTAGATTGAAGGAAAGGCAACCAACACGCCTGTGGGCAGAACAGCTTTTGCACATTGTCTGGCAATGGCTCAAGCCACACCTATCGGGCTTCTCAGCCCCTTCCTACGCCCCCTTCCTCGGACCAAATTCCCCATGGCTCGCGAATTCCAATCGGGTTGACGCTGACATTTTCTCGACCCTTCCGGGCCCAAAACCGGGGCCCCGGGCAGCGCTTCGGCCTCCTGTTCCTCTATCTCCGCGAGCTCCCGCTCGCTCTGCTGCAGCTCCTGATGCGGGCTCGTCGCGGTCGGGAAGTCGAGGGTTTAGGTCTCATGAGGATACCTCTTTGGGGGTAAATGGGAAAACACGGGCAAACCACCCAAAGTCAGGTAGGTGAGGTAGGTGATGGCTTGCAGAACGGACACAGGGTTTTGGACACATCGATGAAACTGGTGCCCCTTTGTTTGAACCAAACCAAACACCAGGTGGAATTCATATCTATGTTTGGTGGCCGAGCCGCCACGACATGTTCAGTGTGAGGCATGTGCTGGGTCAAAATGTGTTGCTCTCAAAAGCAGTTGCCGCGTGCCTATCACACGTACATGTGCCTTGCTCAAGAGACCTGCTTTCTTACATGGCGCGCAGGTGTCCCCTAGGAGGGCCATGATGAAACGATTCAACCACCCAATACGAGTTGCAGGGTTGCTGGTTTTTGGAAACCGAAGGACACCAAAGCAATGTTCTACCCTTGCGTGTTCGTGTAAGAACTCTAGAGCAACCCTAGTTTCATTTGTTTCAACTTGTCAAATACCTGAAATTGAAGAAATGGATCCTCTAGACTCTTAGGGTGTCCGTCGCTTTACCCCCAGGTCGATGGAATCACTCGAAAGCCAAAAACTTGGCAGACCCTGAGGACCGCTGTGGATGGATGCTAACTCTACAGTAATGTTGACCCCAAACTAACCAACCCAGTTTATTAAGAGGGCGGGCCCTCCCAAAGATGATGATTCCCCACTAAACCCAGGGACACCCCCCTATTAATAGACTAAAATTTAATATGGGGTCAACGTTTCAGCAGTTGGGTGGGCTTGTTTGCTATTCGTTTCCGTGCCAACTGCCTGCTGCACCTCCGCAAAGCGCCGCTCGTTCCACTCCTGCAAGCTCGCTTGGTTTATTGACGAGCTCACCTGGTAAAACGAGCTCCTTTACGGGATCCAATTCTTCTTTCAGGTTTTGGAAATATCACAAAAAAATGCGGAAGCATGGTTTTTTGGAGGGTACCAAGGGCTGGGCCCCAACGTGAATGGGAAATGGACCGCAAAATGGCGGGGCGCGGCGTGCCTTTGGTTGCCCCACAAACCCCAGCGGGGCAAAGGCTTCGCCCCCAAAATAGAAATGCCCAATCAGGTTTCGCGTCAGCTGGTAGGGTAAAATGTCAAACTGCAGATCAACACCGCAACCATCAGGGTTTCGCGGTATTTCCCCTTAAAGCATCCCCCTACCAAGGGAAGCCGGTCTAAGTGAGCCAAAGACGTGATGTTTAAAGCCTCACAAATGGGCACGGTGAGGGCTCCAAAGGGCCTTTCGCAGCCGGTCGCCACTTCCAGCCCAGACTCAGTCTGCAGATCTCATGAGCCCACCTTTAGGTCCCGGCCAAAGACCAGCCCGAGTTATTTGGGTGGGGATCCTTAGGAAAACCCAAAAAACGGTGGTGTTCCTGGTGTAGCTTTAATACCACGAGAAAGGTGTGGTCGCAAAGAAAGACACACTTGTTTGCACTCCGATAGCCGTATTTTGCCTTAGTTAGGCCTGAAGCCCCCAATGGTCTGTGCGATCTTTGAGCATGGCAGAGGTGCAGCGGCAGCGGGAGCCGCGTACGGCACTCGGAGAGTTCGGCAAGGCACGCCGATTGTTCGGTCAGGTGAGCAACACAACACAACGCAACGCAACACAACGCAACGCAACGCAACGCAACTCTCTCTCACACACGGTCGACGGATGTCAAGCTTCCGCGCGCCCCAATTTTCCCCACAGCGTCGAAATGTTTCAGGCCGCTTCAGTCCTTGAGGATTCCCCGACTTTCAGTCCTCCCATCGGCACATTGGCCATCGCTTCCGACGGATTCTTGATCGAAGTGGCGAGGGGCCGAAGAAGGCGGTGGCCTCTCAGGTAAGCTGCCATCCAGCCGGCAGATCGGTAAAACTGCCAGTGCTCGTGCCTCTCGCAATCAAAGAAGCCGAGAGGCTGGGCTGCCTGGCTCTCCATGTCAAATGCTTCTGCAGCTTCTCCAGTCTCCGTGGCCCACATCGAAGGGACACATTGGTCTCTAAGCCGCCGTTCATCCTTCCCTCCTCCTCCAGGTCTGTTTGTCTCGGTCTCACGCAAAAGCCAACTCCTCTGTCTCCTTCCAGGCTTTCAATTTCAGTCCCTCAGGCCATCCACTCAAATTCCATCCATCCTCCTCCGTGTGTATGCCCCTTTTGCCTCAGCTTTGGAGACACTTGAGCGGACGGACCAGCACCAGTGGCGCTTCCTCAGACCAGGATCTTAGGCCTGTTGCGATGCACCCGCCAGCGCCAGCATCCTTACTCGTCCAATGAGCGCCCCTTTCTTGGGTTTTCCAAGGTCTGTTGAGAGATGTCAAAGATGATTGAAACCCATCTCGCTCTTCTGTTGTGTGCTTAAAAACATTTGACAACACAAAAGCCAACAACATGTTGGATTGTTTTCGTAATGTGCCAAACGAAAGGCAAGCCACTCACTGTTTCTGGGTTTAGGGACCCCGTGTGCTTTGCTTCATCCCACCTGTTCTGGGTTGCCCATAAACCAACAGTCAACATGGAGGTTAAAAAATAGTTGGAGGTCCAAAGGCAACACTCACCTTGAGCCAGGTTGATGCCAAAAAAGCTTAAATTGGCTCAAGACCAGCTTTTCAAAGTCGAACAACAGCTTAGATTGGTAACAACAGCTTCCAAACCCCAGCTTCACTGGAGGAAAAAAACCAAAAACACGTGCCACTTCCGTTTGGCTTTGCACTCGGGAGATCGGCTTTGCGGCTTGAGCATCTGGAGCTTCTGGCGCAGCTCCAAGATGCCGGGGGCCCAGGCGCTGGATTCCTCCAGGGTCCCCACGTTGCCTAGCACCTGCCGACCCAACCCCCCACCCCGCCTCCCCCTCCCCCAGGCCAAGCCCCTGGGTGAGGGTAAGATGCGTAAAACGGGGCTGTTGTCAGGATGGGACATACAGGCAAAGGTCAGGTCTGTTTCAAAGGACTTCCAACGCTCAGCAGGTTGGTCTCTGAAAAAAAAAAAAAAAACGTCTACCTTATGCACAACACACTGGACAGTTACGGGATTTTCAACTGTCAGTAAAATGTGTGTACAGGTTTTGCCTCTTGGCGCCCGAAAATCGGGGAAATAAAAGGACCCCCTCAATAGGAGGGTTTCGACACGTTTAGGGGGTCCCTGTATTTTCCGAAACAAGTGGACATGATTCATAAACCCACTTTGGTTATATGAAACCACGCGATGTTTCCAGCCGACTGCCAGCCAATTTCTTGGCACCTCCCAGAACGCCCTCTGGTTAAAGACGTCCCTTTCCGGCCCAAAATCCAAAATGCCAAATGCATAAGTGTGAATTACCAAAGTTACGTATTTGTTTCATAGTCTCAAGGGTTGCCATTCCAGAAATATTGTTGAGCAAATGGCTAGCCAGAGGCAGCAACTTCTTACTACAACTACAGAAGAGGCTTGAGCTCGCGAAGTACCCCACCTTCAAGCCTTTCCGTACACAAAACCCCGTCTTAATCCTGGCCCTCTCCACCAGTGGAAAATAACATGTCCTTTTGCTTTCCTATGGCAGTCCAATTGGCCTCCAGGCAGGGACCGGAGAGGACCAGGTCCAGATGTTGCCAGAGGGGGCAGGGAGGCAAAGCACAAGGATTTCCGGGTCCCCTGATTTTGAGACAAATCCAGGGATCAAAATGGGATGCATGTTCCTTTGGGGCCCTTTGCGGAAAAGTAAACGGCAGGATCCAAAATGGCAGGATGCCGAATTGGGAGCCTTATGATTTTGAACAATCCCTCTGGGTCCCCATGTCTGGGGAACCCAACAACAATTCGGTCAAAACCACCGTTTCCACGAACTTGTGCGGTTCCACGCTGTATGTTGCCAACCCCTGGAACGGTTCGGCCAACCGCTTGCTAAACTTGCTAAAAACATGTTGCGTAAACCAGCTCATCTTGGTTTCTCTTCAAAGGGCAGCAGGTCCTTTCTTTCACCGACTTTTGCCCAACCAGGGTACCAACTCAAAAATCATCAGAGTGGGGTGTCCCGTTCGAAGAACCCATTTCTTGGTTTGCCACCCTTTAAACCCACCCAATCAAAGACTATGTTAATTATCATTTTCCCTTTGAAACCACGGAAAAGGGCTACACTCAAAAAAGACGAGCCACCCATTTGTTGGGCTCCCTTTGACTCAACTTGGTGTTGGCTTTCGTTCAAACCCAATTTGGACCCCCTCTAAAAATTCCAAAAACGACCCAAAAACGTGCGGCGCGTCCCGCGCCGAATCGCGCCGCAGCGCGAAGCGCCTCGCAGGCGCCATGGAAATCTCCGGCGGCGACCAAGTCGGAGGCCTGGGCCACCGCGGCGGTGACCTCAGCCGAACTGAGGCGTCGATCCGTGGCCCAGAAAATCTAATGCGACGGGTACAGGGGCCTGAAGGATTGGTGCTATAAGACTTTAAGTATTGAGATCCTTGGAGCGTACAAACAGCGGGTGCAAGAGCCATGAATCATTGGACTGGGGTTGGGGGGCACTTTGAAACCGAATTCACAGGAGTATATGACTATAGTACTAGCCTGCATCTGCCATGGTCAAAGCTGCTTGTGTAGGCCATGGCTTCCTTAATAGGAAGCCTCGTAACTTGAAAAATCTAACTCGTCCATGACCTCTCCTACCAAATAAGAATGTCCTTTAACCATGGCACATATCTCGGCCATTTGGGATGCCCGAAACATATGCTTTCTTAGATTCAGTTTCATATTTAGTGCACCCTAAACGTGAAACTCGTTTTGCAAGAGATGCCATAATGTAGGATGCCAGATTGGCCAACCTTAGGCCTTAAGATGATGAAGAAACCCAGCAAAACAATCATACCGCGACCCCTTTCCGACCCCAAGAAGCTTTCGGAAATACCAACCCGGCCCGCAAAGGAATCCCAAACCCAACCCTTACCCGAAGAAGCTTTGAGGAGCCCCCTCCGCCCCCCAAGGCCTCGTTCACCGTCTTGTAGAGGCCTTTCATGCTCTCCACCACCATGGACTTCTGCTTCTTCAGCACGTCCATGTTCCGGTGCAAGGCCGTCACCACAGTGTCCACCTGCAAAAAAAGGGATTTGGGTGCCTCTTTTTTCAGGGTGCCCTTTTCACCTGGGTCTAACAGGAAAGTAAAATAACAGCCACGATTTTCGGGGAATTCATTTCCTGGCACATACCCAGTTCGTACTGGACAAAGCCCTGCGATCCACCTGGTGCGAAGCTGGATTTTGTCCTGGCTTCCTGAAAGGCAAGGCTGGAAGTTGCGTGCTGGTTTGACAGGCAGGGAATGAGTTGGAATGACCCTGAAGGGAATCCGCCCCGTACAGTTTCTCATCTTGGGGAAACGGCGGGAGTTGTGTCGTTGAGGCAAGTCAAAGAAGCTAAGTTGGGTGAGCTATATGAATATGGGTGTCACTTTTCTGCGTACTATTTTCAGGTTGGTTTAAAGGGAAACCAAAAGGAAGCCCAAAAATCCATATTTGGGGCATACAAAAGACGCACTCCTGTTAGGTTGATCAGCTGAAATAGGGAGAAACGCCCTTCAGAAAGAAGCCTTCATCGGGCCGAGATTGCAATCCCCTGGTAGGTGAGGTCGCTACCCCCGGTAGGTGGGGTTGCGATGACAAGTGATTCCTATGTTCACCACATGTCCTGTCACGTGCGTTTCAACTGAGGATGTGTGCCATGGTCAAGACCCCCTTATGGGTCATGGTCATGGCCTCTCTAAGACAACCTCTACATGGGTGGTGTAAAATCCGCATTGACAGATTGATCGTTATCACTACCAACCCAAGTGAAGGAGTGATTCTTGTAGACCATGGCACAATGTGTATGCCACCTCAAGCTGGCCACGTTGCTCTGGCTTTTTGTGTGACCGCAACTGAACATAAGACATCTCACTGTTCGAGGCTGGAAGCCCGGAGGCATCTCAGTCTTCGTGGGGTTGTGTTGAGACCCCAAAGGCCACTCAATTTCATTGCTCAATCAGGGTCAAACGAGGCACAACACACGAATTACCATGATTCATCCACGCCAAAAAGGGCTTAGGAACTTTCATAAGCCCATCTGTTGCGAACCTGAAGGGCAAGGTCGCTCAAATTTGTCCCACAGGCAAATAGAGAAAGGGGGTCCTCAAAATAGGGGTCCATTTCCTGAATGGCAACGGCTTCCTTTGGGCGTCCCTTTAAGTAGCCGAAAGGTGTTCCAAATCCCATTTTGAGAAACTCCCTTAGAGTCTTGGGGCCCGGTTGTGCTCGGAATTTTGAGACACAGATCTGTCTGCCATTTGCCATGTGCTGTCGGGTCGAGTCCAAAAAGCTCGGGAGATTCCCAAGCCTCTCGGGTTCCCACTCCACCGGATTTTTTAAACAGACCAGGAGACCACCAAAAACCGAGAGGCTTCTGGCACCAAGTGGACCTGGCACATCAGCAGGGTGGCGGCCAAGCTTCTCTTTTTCCAGATGGTTTGAATCTTGTAGCGGAACCTGCCCGGAGCATTCCGGGACCATCCAAAAACCCGCCCCCGACGCAGGATCAACCAAGGCCCGATAGCTGTCGCCATTGAAGAACAAGAGAAACAACTTTGTAACCGAGTGACCCTAAATACATGCAAGTTCTAACACATCGGTTCCTTTCGGGTGCGAAAAACGCAATTTGTATCCTCAAGCTAAAGCCCGTTCTCAGAACTGGAACACAGGTCCCCAGCTTCAAGGCTTTTGAGTTGAACTTTGGCTGGAGAGCTTTCTCGCCTTTTCACACGCGGTGAGCAAAAACCGTTCCCTTTCGCCGCGGTTTTCTGTTTTTTGTTATTTTTTTCTCCCGAAGCTTTCGACCGCAGGCCTCTCGGCTCTTGGACACGAAGCTCTGGTTCCCCTCGGAAGAGCTGACGACGAAGGCCTCGAGCGACTGAACTCGTCCGTCCCCGGAAGAGGGCGCTCCCCTATATTTCCGCACAATCCCTACCAAGGGAAACTCACCTTAAGTTGGCCAACAAGGTGATGTGTAAAACTACTAGGGGTTGTTTCCCCATTCTTTTCAACCATCGCTCTTTTCGGAAACCAGATCCGTTTTCCCCGGGTTTCCGGAGGTTGTCTAGAAAGAAGGATCCCTGGAAAGAATGGGGGAGGTACCCCTAGACAAATGTACAACCTTACATCACCCGAAAGGACGCTCAAGTTAAGTCGGCCCCATCTGTAAAACAAAAACACCAGCATGGACCTCAGATAGCACACCACGGCTACGAAGCATGACGCCGCATCATAATGGTTCCCGCGGCATGATGATGATGTTGACAGCATCTTGGTGACTTTGACAGCATCATGAAAATACCACAGCTACTCAGCATAGTGCGCTACATAGACGCGCAGACAACGCCCTAGTGAGCCCATCAGCAAAACGATGATGTTGACAGGATGATGCTGATACACCAGCCACGAACGATTCCGCGCTACATATCTAGCAGAAAAAAAGGCAGAGACGACGTCCTGATGAGTTCGACAGCATCATGATGATGCGGACAGCACCATGATGATTCTCACAGAATCATGGTGATGGCAAAGGCAGCATCCTGATGATACCACAGCCACGAATCATCTTGCGACAGTGTAATGACATTCAGCACCACCCTGATGTTGACAGCACTATGCCCGCCACCACACCCACGAACCATAACGCGGCATCGGCATCATAACGTGGTTGACAAAATCATGATGATACACCGCGACATTTAGAGCAGCAACAACGTCCGAATCGGTTCAACAGCATCATGATGCTGCTGACAGCATCATGATGATGCGATAACCGCGATACCCCAAACAGCACCCGCCCTAGCACCCTGCCATCCATATGCGCCCGCACCATCATTAACATTCGAAAATAGCAGCCCCAATAGCGCCCCAACGCAGCACCCGCGCCAGCACCGCGTACTGTCACCAGCACCTGAACCGAACAGCACCCAAAACCGCTCCTGCGCCAGTACCCCAAAGCGCATGCCCAGCCGTCGATCTTGCAAAACAATTTCCCTTCTTCATTAGAAGTCTATGGTTTCCAGTTATCGAGGAAATAAGCCCACGCGGTCAGCAGCACCTCCAACAGCAACACAAAACAGCACCTGCACCACCACCCCAAACTGCATGCCCCCTAGCACCCGCCGGCAATCTCCGAAAATTGCGCCCACAACGTCAGCAGCACCTCAAACAGCACCCCAAACTGAGCGCACCCCCGCTGTCCATCAGCGCCTTAAACAGCACAGGCGCCAGCATCTTAATCAGCACCGCAAACTGCATGCCCCCTAGCACCCGGCCGTCCGTTTCGCAAAGCGGCACCTCCGCCAGACTGCATGCCCCCTAGCACCCGGCCGTCAATCTCGCACAACAGCACCTCCACCAACACTCCAAACTACATGCCCCCTATCTCGCAAAGCGGCACCTCCACCAGCACCCGAAACTGCACGCCCCCTCGCACCCGGCCGTCAATCTCGCAAAACAGCACCTCCACCAGCACGACCCCTAGCACTTGGCCGTCAATCTCGCAAAACTGCATGCCCCCTACCCGGCCGTCAGCTTCGCAAAACAGCACCTCCACCAGCACCCCAAACTGCATGCCCCCCAGCACCCGGCCCTCAATGTCGCAAATCACTTTCCCTTCTTCATTAGAAGTTGGAACCCCTATAGCTTTCAGCTATCTGGGGAAAAAAAGAAAACAAAGCAAGAAATATAGGGAACCTTGTTGAGCATGTTCAGGCTTGTAGGTGTGCCCCCCCAAAGATGCATTTTGGAGGGTGCAAATTCCTATTCTCATGCATTTCCTCTCTCCTTTTTTGGTTTTCGGGGGTGGCAGAGATGCCCTTTTCTCCAGTTTTGCTTACATTGCAATCCTATAGGGGACCATCCAAATACCCCAGTCGTAGAGTCCGTTGATCGAGGTTCCTTTCCTGAAAGATTCTTTGAGTCTAAAAATAGCCTCGGATGCGATTTAGACTCCTACAAGAATTTAGACTCAAAATGAGTCTAAATAAGGCGAGGCTAAATTTATGTTGAAACATTATTTAGCCTCAAATTAGCTTCAATTTAGTCTCAATTTTATGTCAATTGTCCATAGATTTTTGCTTGGAACCAACACTGCCAACTATTCGTTACTGCAAGGGAATCCGCACAAGCGCGCGCAAAAATGGTATGAACGTGAGCCCTAGTGTTTGTCCACCAACAGCAACTCAGCACCCTACTCAAAGGACAATTGCGCCGCGGCCCAAGATGGAGCTGTGCAAAAACCACAGGCAAGGGTATATTGTGGTGCAAATTGTGTTGGCTTGGGCGGTAAGTACAAGAGGGAAGCTTCGCAAAACCCACGGGCGGCCGGAAGCACAAGCGTTGGAAATGCTGGGCATGCCCACAATACAAGTCCACATTTGCTATATGATCTGCGCGCAATGCAAGTGGGAAGCAAACAGGTGTCTCACACGTGGGCCGCCCACAGTTCAAAACTGGCACGTGATGCAACCCTATAAACGCCGGCTCCGCACAGTACAAGCGTCCGGCGCATTTCTTTTTATATACATGAGTGGCCGGTCGTACAAGCGGCGGTGGCTGTGCCACTGCGCAACGCATACAATTCTGTGTACAGCTCCGCGCAGTACAAAAATGGAAAAGTATAGCTCACACAGTGTACATGCGGTGGGGGAGCTTATATAGCGACTCCGCAGCAGAAGTGCTGCGACGTGCACAAGCGGCAACATACAAGGCTTTCCACGGTATACAACTGTGAGTGTGGGCAGGTGCAACTGGCAGCCCAAAACTGTGAAGGCGCAGAGGACAAATGCAACACGAGCAGAAAGCCTTCAATTTTGCAGCTGCAGCAGGTTTTACAAAAAAAGGCAGACTGGCCATCCTGTACCTTTTAGCGGCCTTCAAGGCGACGCGGCCCGTCAGCAGCAGACCACATATAGTGACAAGCCAGCCCGTACTTTTCTGCCCTTCAAGGTGGCAGATACGTCCGTCCGGCCGCTCACACAGCTGCTAATCAAGGTGGAAATGCGGCCCATGAGGTCCTCACCTCGCCAGCACCAGGCCAAATGGGGATGAAGTTTGTCCAGAGAGCACTATTTTGGCCAGAGAGCACTGACGGCGGGACCATATCCGAACCAACTCCGGGATCCGGCTGGCGTCTACCCTCCGCAAACTCCGGCGTCATTTTCGACCAGAGCTTCTTCACCTCCTTGGACTGGTCCTCATCGAACTCGACGGCCTGCCCCTCAATCTGTTCGTTGCTCTGCTTAGAAATCTTTGTTTCACGCTCAATCTGAGCCGCAGCGTAGTACTCTTTGCCGCCCTCCTGAAGCTTCACCATCCTTGATCTGCCACTTGGACATGAACAAGTTCTTGCCGATGCCCTTCTCCTTCTCCGCCTTCGAGTCTGTGGTCTCCAGCCGCTTTTGCGTGCTGAAGGTCAACTTCTCCGGCCGAAGCTTCAGCGCCCCACCTTCTTTCACAAAGAGAGTGTTGATCAGCTTGGTCTTGTCATCACGGGAGCCACAGGACTGATACTCCGCCAGCACCGCAGCAGGCAAGCTCTCCTCGGCCAGCATCTTCTTGAACTTCTGCGCCTTCGACCGGTCACGGCCAGACTCCAAGCCATCCTCAGCCTCTGCGTCGCCTGCATCTTCTTCGCGAGCTCGCACCACCTGGTCGCCCAAGTCAAACAAGTCCTGGAGGAGTTCCTTCTTCCTTTTTGGCTTGGGCTTCGGCTGCGCTGGATCAGCCTTCTTTTTCTTCTCTGTGGACTTTCCCTTGGCCTTGGGCTTGGCCTTCGCCGCTGGCTTCTTAGTGAGCTCCACGCTGGCATCATCTCTGGCATCAGTGCCATCAGCGGCATCCCTGCCCTGCTTGCGAGCTTTCGACTTCACTGCAGCTGCAGGTCGCTTCAACACCGGACTCTTCTTCGCGGCCGGTTGCTCTGGTGGATCAGGCTGACTCGCAGTAATCTCACCCTCAAGCATCTCTGTCACAGGCGTTGCCATCCAAACGACCTATATAGTTCACTGTGCACAGGCGCTGTACCTACCGTAAGTATAAGGCTCAAAAGGCGACGGGCAACATTTGCGAGAGTGCAACGTACAACCAGGAGAAGCAAGTACAACCAGGAGAGGCTGAGCGAGCTCAGAAGCCAATGCAGAAATACTAATTTGAAACAGCTTGGGCTTGGACTTTGAGCTTGCTCGGCCTTTCCACCACTTGTGTCCCACGCGGTCATGTATACTCCAAGCATGGCCAGGCAAGTACAACACAAGTCATGCGCTCCAAGCGTGGCCAGGCAAGTACAACACAAGTCATGTACTCCAAGCGTGGCCAGGCAAGTACAATACAAGTTTGCACTGGGTAGGGGCATGTACACTTGCGACCACCAAGAGTTGTTGCCACCAAGAGTTGTTTGCAGCGGCTGTTCCAAAGTACACCTTCGGCATTGCTCAAACCTTGAAATCTTTAGATGTTTCTTCAAGAAATTGAGCAGTTCTGGTCACACAACTGTGCTGTCCCTTACAAAAAAAGAGCTGTTCCTGAAAAAAAAGAGGCTCCTCCTTCAAGAAAATGGCTGCCCGCAGTGATTGGTTTCACAATTTTAGAGCCCCGAGTGCTCAAACTGCACTCAAACTGCATCCAAACTACATCCAAACTACATCCAAACTACATCCAAACTGCATTATGATGATGCACTTTTGTTTGAAACTGCATCCAAACTACATCCAAACTACATCCAAACTGCATTAAGATGATGCAGTTTTGATCCAAACTTTATCAATGTGATGCAGGGTTGATGCAAACTGCATTGAAACTGCATTCCGGTGAGGTTCTGTATCAAAAGTGCATTGGCGTGTTGCAGTTTCATGTGTCGCCAGTGCAGTTTCGGTACAAAGTGCATCATGGTGATGCAGTTTGGATGCAGTTTGGCTGGGACTTCATTGTTTTCAGTCACGGAGGCTCTGACAAACTCGCAAATTGCCCAATCCGCGCCTTTTTTTCCAAGCAGATCGAGACTGCAAATTGGGCCACCCTGAGCGGCGACAGCAAGCACGCTGCCCGAAGCGGTGGCAGCAGTCCCACACCAGCCTTTATAGAAAGCATTGTTTCTCTTTTCATTCCTCTAGGAGTTGCTCACATTCTCTCTTGGCTGGGTGGCCGCGCTCTTATACGTTAAATGCAGAGTTTTCAGGCCAGGGCACGGTATACAAGTCAAGGCCGCTATATACATGACTACATGGTGGTCTCTGAGTCACTCACACGTTAGTCATTGCAATTGGCTCCCTTGACTTGCACACAAGCGCAGACGACGGCGAACCGTAAAAAATGCAAGAGTGCACAAGCGCGTGTCAGGGTGTACAAAGCAAATGACCTTGTAATTTTTAAGGGAGCAGCCTTTGTGATTACGCCTTTTCACCCCTGAGCCGCCTAGAAGTAATCCCACGCTACGTCCGGCTCCTCAGCGGGCGATGTCGGACTCAGCTCCTGCGCGAATCAGTGCAACGCAATGCATACAAGCGTGGGCAAGCACAAAAGTCCTCGGATTCCGTGGGCAAGGAGTCTTCGCCGTCGCTCTCCTGGCACAAGCACAAGACATGTAGTGTACCAAACGCTCACTGTGTACATGCCGCGCAAAGGCCTCGTCCGGCGATGGCATCGCAGCTAGGGCCTGACAAGCATCCAAGTAGGGTGAACAACATTGAAATTGCAGCGCCTTAGCCAACCTTGTCGCCGGGTTGGCTGACCCACGGATCACAACCTGTCCGGCAACGCACACATGACATGCGGCGCAGATAGCCCAGGCTGACGCCTGGACGGGCTGCGTGGGCGCGCTTGACGGGTACGCCTGGCCAGTGAAGAAGCCCGCACGGAGTCAAGTCTAATGAAAATACAACTGCAAAGAGTCTTCAGTTGTACACTCGTGCAATTGTACATTGTACACTTGTATTGTACACAGCTGTGTACATGTCACGCTATGCCTCTGAATCCTCAGCATTCTTATCTTCCTCAGAGTTCTCAACGTTCATGAGGGTCCTGAGCGCCTCACAAAAGTGTGTACCAGCCGGCGGAAACGTGCGTACATATCGTACACTCACAATGTGAAGCACAGATAGATGTACAAGCAAAGAAGTGTGGTATACATTGTACATGCAAAAGGGCAACGCTTTGTGTACAATCCAAGCACACCTCTTATACATTCACACGACTCCCAAGCCCAGCCTTCGAGGAACGCGGGGTTCCGAAGGCATCGAATTTCCTCCGCTTCTCAGGGGGTGGCCTGGCAGAACTGGGGACGGCCTTGGTTGGCTGGTCAGCCGACAAAGGGGTGGCCGGGCTTGTCGGGCTGCTGACCTGCTTCGGCGGGGTGCCGGGGCCGGGCACAGTTGTTTTCGGCGGTGTGATTGGGCTCACAGCGTGTGACACCACCAGCGCCGGCGCTTGGATTTTCATCTGGGCCGGTGGCCGTGGAGCAGGTGCCGGGGGTGGTGGCTGCCGTGGTGGCTGTGGCTGCAGTGGTGGTGGCAGTGGTGGCTGTGGTGACTGCAGTGGCGGTGGCAGTGGTGGTTGTTGTGTCTGCAGTTGCGGTGGCTGTGGGGGAAAGGATGGTAGTGGGGGAGGGGGGGGGGGTGCTGGTGCTGGCGCCGTTGCTGCCGTTGCTGCCGCTGGCGGCCGAGCCCGCTCTGCATGGTGGTCCGCCGCCCGAAACGCCTTCAGCGCCTCCGTCATATCCGCATCGCTGTCGTAGTAGAGGAAGGCACTTGTCTGCGGCTGGTACGCGCTCCTGCATGGCAGAATTCGCACTGCCACCGGCTTTGGCGCATTGTACTGCTGCGCCCTCGCCAGCACATCCTTGGTAGCGGCGCAAGTTCGTGCACGTGTGTGTACAGTTAGTTCATGAGGGTTCGCAGTTTCAAGGTGCATGCTTATACAAGTCAAGGCGAGGCGCTGCTTTGGTGACATTCCCCGGCCAATCAGCTGTGTACAAGCGGCTCTCCATGGCGCACTCCAGGCACCAAGTTGTCAAATGCAAGTACACCTCTTGCACAGTGTGCAACAAATGCGGGCTGCGTAGTGGCGTAGTGGAATGCTCCTTGTGCAGTGCCGATGCAGCTTTGTACATCATACCCACCTCGGTTGTATCACATGTGCATGTGTGTATGTCCTTTTTCATGCATCCCCCATCGGAGGTTCCTTGTTTTTGCAAGAGCCAAAATGGAGCCGCCAGAAAATAAATATTGTTCATGCTGCGTGCGAAGCCTGCAAAACCTCCTCCTTTGGACATGTACAAGCGCATGCGCTGTGTGGAACTAGTTTTTCCGCTATGGTTTTCTGCTTGCTTTGCGGCCTGTGACACAAACAGTGTCTGGGCTTTCTAAACTTTGGGCCGTGGCTCCTATATACAATGGGTGTGCGTCGCAAAATCTCTGACAATTTTCTCAAGCTCTCACACTTCAGGGCTTCGCAGCCACACATCCTCCCGCCACGCTGCGCATATAAACAACACGAGAGAAACACAAATAATGGCGCGCTTGCTGCGCTGTTCTATGCAAAAACAAGTGGTGCAACAAGGTGTTTATATGCATTTGCGTGATTTAGACTCGCAGTTTAGACGCGCTATTTAGACTACAAATTTAGACTCGGCGCAGCTTTGTAGTCTAAATTTTCGCGAGGCTATTTTTAGACTCAAAGGATCTTTCAGGTTTGGTGGACATCATTTACATCTACTGCAATTTATGGCCATATGAGCCCTCCCCCCCCCCCCGTCAAGTTCCTCAAAATGCGACCTCGTCAGGTCCTAAAGGGCGCCCTCAAAAAACACAAGCCCAACAGGAGTAAAGGGCAGCTTTTGCGCCAAGCAAACCATGATCTTTGGCCTCCTTTCGGCGTACCTTTGAGGGTGGATTTCAACATATATGTGACATAATCGCTGTTAAAGGGTTGATCATTTGACCATGGCACACGTTTAGATTTGTCTCATCCTTGGTTCTGCCTGTTGGCTTCCCAAAAACCGACCGTTGCTCCAAGAAAAGGGCTACCCGCAACAAAGTTACTCCAGGGAAACTGTTTTGAGGTGAGCAGCGCGCAAAGTTCGCCCCCAACTTTCCTTGTTCTTTGCAGCCACCAAGAAAGAACCAAAAGACCAAGCCTAAAAAACCACTGAAAAGGAAAATGGGACGAAAAGAAGCAAGAGGAAACCCAAAAAAAAAACACGCCAAGAACAGCGAAGCCAACCCCAAAAAAAGCGCTGTCACGCGCGCATCGTTCGCGCCTGAAGCTGCTGGGCGCATTGCTCCCTTTCCGCCGCCAGTTCCTCCTCCCTCTCCTCGCGCTCGCGGAGAAAAGTTCCAACACGGCGGGTTCCCTGTAGTGAGTAACAACTCTGTTCCCGCGAGGAGAGGCCAAAAAATATATGTTTTACACTGTTTGTCGTTGAGTGGGGAGGTCCCTCAGTATCACAGAGTTTGATCCTAAACCTATGCAATCCGCCCAGTGACCACGGCTCCCTCAAGAAGAATGCCAGAAGAAAGCCCAACAGTTGTGTTGGGTGTTTTTTTTGGAAAACCCTAGCTCACTAGGAACTCACCAGGATTTTCACACTGTTTTGAGGGATTGGCTTACCCCAGTACAGGATTCCCTTGGGCTTTTGGTTCCCTATGGTTCCCTATCCGTTTCCATTCTGGTCAGGGTCTCTGCAAGTCACAATGGAAACAACCCTGCAGGCATGCACGCGTCTGCACTTCCCGGACGCCATCAACCACCAGCACCCTTCAACGACTATTTATGGACAGCACGTGGGGGGTTTTGGACATGGAAAAAGCAGTCGTTGAGCCGGCATGGCTCACTTTCTGAGTGGCTCGGAAGTCCTTGGACTTTGCAACTTGCAGCTAAAACGGTCTTCCCACAAAGTAAGTCTTGTGAAGAACTATTTTAGTGAACCTCCAGATGTATTAAAAAACATCAATGTGTCACGTATCGTTCCTACTGCAAGGCTGCAACGCACGCCCTGTTCCTTTTTCCTCCCTCATCGTTCATAGTCTGTGCTGCTCGTGCCTGTCACAACCCTCATCACCTGAGGGATAATGCTTTGGATTTCCATGCATCTCCTGCATGGACTCCGGTTGGGATGCCTCTAACATCCTTAAAAGTTCCCCAATGCACTTTAACTCCCAAAGCACTACAGAAAGCTCGTCACCGCGAGCACGGCACGAAATGGCAGCTTCCATATCATGGGGAAACAGAAAGCAGTAGACATTGAGAAATCATTCTGGTGGGCCCATGGGAGATCGCATCTGCCCAATTGGACTTGGAAGGGATCCACTCCCAGTACATCCAAACCTTCAGCCCGTATAAAATGGTGTGGATCACGTGGGACATTCGTTCCAGGTCAGGCTCTCTGGACCTACCACGGATCAGGCACATGAGGGCTGCGGTGTTGTCGATGTACCACATCCCCCCCCGATTACGGAATGTTTCCGGTCGGCAGAGGAGGGCGTACAACACCACCATGGACAGTTCCACTTCCGGTCCCCCGGGGTCCACAGCTCGTAAAGCTCAAGTGGGATGTCCGCCACAAAGGCTTCCCGTCGCTCGGTGAAGCCGTTGGCCCACACCATCAGGAAACCTCCCGTCCCCTGACGTGGGCTCTCCAGAGCTGCATGAGAAGCAATCACGAAACGCTCACACGGTGCCGGCAAAACTTGCAACACCCGACGTGGTTGGGTAGCAAACACAGCTTCCAACAACTCGAGGCTTGCCTTGATAGGCTCAGTCAACTCAGATGATCTCTCGGCCTGCCTCATCTTGGAGCCAAGTCCCCCGCATCCCACGCGGCCCAAGAAGTTTGCCAAGCAGTAGATCTTGGCCGCAAGCCCAGGTGCCAACTTCTCCTCCTTCCTGACCTTCTGGATCATCCCGGACATCTTCTCGTGGCTCTCGTACCCAGAACAAAACCACACCGCCAGGTATGGCGTTGGATAAGTCATGGTCAAGCCCCAGGAACAAGCCTTGGGTGGCCATGGGTTGCTTCTTGTCCTCGGAGAAGGGTGTACCCAGCAGCCGGTTCAACTCCTCCAGCGCCCACTGGCCGGAACCACCGGCTGAACGCCAATCCGTGATGTGGGCATCATCAAGTAAAACGATACCAGAGGGACGAGAAGGCGCCTGGCGAGAGCCTCCGCCAGCCGGGAGTACCGGTTGAAGCTGGTCACGGCCAACGGCAGACCAAAGAGCAATCCAGCGTAGCGCTGGAATGCCGGCGCTCCCCAGCCTTCATGCCAAAAGCACACGATGCATCCTCTTGCCTCCTCGCTGCTCATAGGGGAGTGGTGGTAGGCATCTGGCCAACCTTCTCCTCCCGACTCCCACGAGTCACCCCCCCCACCCAAGCCCAAGGCAGCACCCATGACCAAGGCAGCGCCCAAGGCAGCTGCCAAGGCAGCACCCATGCCCAAGCACCCAAGGCTGCGCCCAAGGCAGCTGCCATGCCAGGCCGATCGGAGCTGGCACTCGTCCATACGCTGCATCACCGCCGCAATGTGCTGAGCTGACCGCAGCGGAGAACAGAGAACCAATTTATTGGCATCTGCAAAAAAAGGGATTGTCCCCTGTGTCCGCGTTGTCAATCACTCTCTGCTTGCCTGAGGACTGTGTGATGACACACCTGGGTATGAGTCGGAACTCCTGACCTTGGAGCTCACGCTGCAGCAGGGACAGCGGGGGAGTGCAGAAACCTCGATCCGCATCCTTCTGCGACTGCTCCAGCAAGAAGGTATCATCCTTACCCGGGCGCAGGCTGGCGAGCACGATGCGGTTGTTCTCCCCCGCGCCCTCCAGGACCTCCTCAAAGGTGATCCTGCGGGCGGCCTGCTGTGGGAAGACACCGTAATGGGGGGCGAAGCCGACTGGCAGGCCCACCACCAGTCCGTGATACGAGACGTCGGGCCACGCCAGCAGGACCACCAGTAGCCCCAGCAATCCAACACCCCTCTGCGCTGTCACCGCCTGGAGAGCTGGCGCCTGGAATTGCCTCAACTGCTCACCTACTTGTTTCCATCTCTGCTTCAACTCCTTGACAGCTCCAATTGCCCCACGACGTAGCTGGCGCAGGTCCCCCTGCGTGCAGCCATGATTGAGGCCACGAATTTCAAGTCTTTCCTGCTCCCATGGAGTCGGTGTCGTTTTCATGGTCAGGGCCGTAGCGAAGTGGTCATCCGGGGTAGGCACACCAGAGATCAGGGGGGGCAACGTTGCCTTGTCACTCACAGCACCTGCCTGCTGACCCTCAGCTGCGCGCGTTCGTATGCCCCTGTGGGGCCGTGGTGGGGCCCAGGGGGCCATCCCAATCCAACTGCTGCTCATGCCGCCATTCCACAGCCCTTGAACCAGGGCGCAGGGAAAAGGTGCAGGAAGCAGACCACTGCCTCCTGCGTCCAGCGCCTCCAAGGCACCTCCCTCGCATCCACTCCCAGTAGACCTCCCCATGCCAAAAGGACCCCTCGCCTTGGCACTCGACGGCGTCTTCGTTGCACCGGCTGTGCAGCAGATTGTTGCACGCATGGAGAGTCCCATCCTCATAGAGCACTTCGAGAATCATGGCTCCCAAGGTCAATGGGGGCGGCTTCAATCCCAGGCTTACTGCCATAGGTGCCATTGCCCACTCCCGAAGGGCCCGCCCATCGAACTCCAGCCAGTGCTCCCGGCGACCCACCGTCTCGATAGTGGCATCCGTGGGACCTCGAGGCGCGCCTTTCCGACCCGACCACGAAGCCGCCACTGCGATGCCAAACGCCAGGGCAGCGGTGTACTCCGCCTCGGCCTTGGATGGGTACCACCTACCTTCGGTGCTCTCCTGTGGTTCCCACTCTCGAGGATGATGAGTATGATGGCACGTCAAAGGCGGCCAATCTTCGATCTCCTGAACGTTGTGTCTGAGGCACTGGAGCTTACTCCAAGCCCCAGCAAACACACAGGCTGGGGGAGGTAGCAGTGCAAGCTCCTCCGTGGGTTCTCCCGAACAAACAGAGGCCCCCTCCTTTGCCGTGCTGCTAAAGCTGTGTGAGCATCCATCCGCATGCCGCGTTCCGTGTCATCCCTGGCTGATAGCCCCGGCAGCCCCATTGGCTGATCTGCCGACCTGAAGGGCTGGGGCGCTGGTCGTCCATCGTTGAACTTCTGAGCTGGTCTGCCAAGGATTTCTGCCTCAGGGGGTTGGACAGGTCGTGGGCAGGGTCAAGAAGCCAGTCCACTGAAATGGTGCGCCATCCACACCACGAAGGCTTTAGTCAGAGGGAGGTTCGGACCACACATGAGATCGGCCATCAACGGTGGTTCACCACCAGGCAGCGCTACCGCAGCGGACCCAGAGGATGCAGCTGCCACATCATCCTCCGGGCCCCATCAGGAGCCCTTCTGGTAGGCCGCAGCGGTGGGCCCTGCTGACACTTGGTCGCCTTGCAGTGGCCATGCTGGAAGGCTTGGCACAGAGCGACTCCATCCTTCAGCACCATCCTTCAGCACCTTCGCCACCGCCCGACCTCCGATCGTCTTGCCCAGCTGGAAGAGGGATGTACTCGCCGTGTGGGTTGCCCCTTTCCCCAGCTGTTGTGGTTGGCACGGCGCTCCCCTTGCCGGCACGCACCACCCAGTGCGGGTCCCGGGCCTTGAGCCAGGATGACCTTGCCGAGTGTTTTGGTGCTGTCGCGGAACTTGGTCACCCACTTGGTCCGCTCCGCCAGGTCCTGAGTCATCCCAGCCTCTTCTGATGCGGGACCGACTGGAGCACACGCTTCGCCCGGTAGTAGTAGGCCAAGAGAACGTCGAGCGGGACCTGGACAAAGCACGTGCTGTCAGCCCCCAGGACGGCCTCCCTGGCCGCCTCCGGCGCGCCCGACACACGGCCCGTGCCCGCCAAGGCATAGGCCACCAGCAGCGTGTAGAGCTTGTCCAAGTAGCCCTCCCAGTCCCTCGCAACGTGGTCCTCATCCGCATCCTCCTCAACGAACAGCGTGTCCGCTAGCTTCCGCTTTTTGCTGAATGAGGTGAGCTGGAACTGCAACGAACGGACCTTCCAAACATCGAAAACGCACAACAGCCTCTTGGACATCTCTTGACGCTGTCCCCCAGCAGTGAATCGAGGTCAGTGGCACTCACTTTCGACCGATCGGTATCACACTGTTTAAAATACAGTGAAACCGCGGACCAAGCTCGCCTCAAACGGGCCACCTGGATCCTTCGATCCTCACCCAGATTCAGTTTACCCAGGAAGGTCTCTACCTGGGCTTCTGAATCAATTAAAAATCGAAACTCCTCCAGATTGGCAATCTTGTTGTGGAGGAGAGCTTGAACGACCGCTTGCTCGAGATCGAAGTTGATTGCCAGGGCTCCAAGGGTTTCCTCAATGGTCTTCCCACGTTGTGGCACCAACCCCAAACTCGCCCCGGCCTGGCCGTCAAAGCTGGATCTAGTCCTGCAACACGAAATGGGCTGAGGCAGACCAATCCCCACTACTGACCGCCCTCCCTGTCGCTCAAGGAAAATGACATGACAGCGTGGCACAAATGGGGAATCCATCCGTGAAAGCATCACTTGCAACGGTCTGCAACTCAACCCAAACTGAGTCTCCCAGAAACTTTCAAAAGCCCCAAACTTCTCACCACCCGGGGGGGACACCCATGGCTCTTGGGGGATAGTTCAGCACCGCCTTCAGATTTTCTTCCTCACTCACAGCACGGTCGGGCCCGTCGGCATAGGCTGAGGCCCATGCAAAATGGGGGCCCAAAGCTTATTGGGATGCGCCAAGGCGCGGCAAGTCACACTAGCCAAAGTCTACTCATTGCGTCGCCACCCAGCGGGAGCTCGCGCTTGGCAAAGGTGACACAAAGTCCGCCCCCACGCTGAACCTTGAAGGTGTCGCACAAGATCGGGTCCTTCAAGCGCCCTGCTCCCGAGCGAGCCTGCTTGTGGCTGCACAGCGGAGCATCGTCCATCATGCGCAGGTGGATGTTCGAGCGCACCGTGGTCACGTAGCCCACCGGCAATGGCCACGAGGGTCCCACCCTCGTCTCCTGCCGCATACGCTCCACCCACATCCCGGTGCCCTTGCCGCGGGCGATCTTGTACGCTTCCGACTCCGAGATGGTCTCGCTGGTCAGCACTGCCCTGGCCAAGATTCCCATCGCGTGACGCGCCTGCTCACCCGCTGCCAGGGTCTGCTGGAGCACGGCCCACATGTCCTTCCAGCCCTCTGTGCGTTCCCGCGGCTTCGTGATGCACCTCCGCGGCTCTCCGGACTGTTCGGCAGGCAAATGATCTGCAGGGTCACGGGCGGGAACTTGTGTGCCTCTGCCTGCGTAGGAAGCCCGGACAACCACAGTCGGCCACCCTTCGCATTCTGGTAGATGCATGTGGCCACCTTCACCGCGCGTTCCTCCGCCAGAGCATCAGGGAGCACAGCCGCCGGCCTCGAAGGCTGTGACGGGACCTCTCCCTGTCAAGCGGATGCAGGCACACAGGTGCGCGAATCCGCACACGCGTTCCCCGGGACACTCTCCCGTCTGGAAGGCCGGGCAGAGCCTCTTGCCATCACGCATGACTGCGGTCAAGCGCCGGCCGCATCTGCTTTGGCTTTGGCGATCCGCTTGAGCTTCTGGGTCAGGGCGAACCGCTTCTGAAGCTCCCTGGGCCGTGGAGGGGCCGCCCACACCACCTGGGCGTCACTTGATCTGACCGCTGCTTACCTGTGCCGCATCCTGCACCTCCGCCGGTGGGACCAGTTCCCATGACTTGTGGTGGGTGAGCACCCCACCATCCTGCGCTTGGCCAACAAGGACGCCGCGTACTTGGCCCCGCTGTAGTGCACAACGGCATGCGCGCATCGCCCTTGGTCTGCCAGTCGCCCAGGGCTGCCATGTCGAGGGCGCTGAACGCAACCAGTTAGCCCACCGTCGTACCAACCCGCCGGAAAGAGTACGACGATATCATCGCCGGGTTCTCCACCAAGTCCGCAAATTCGTGCCGGGCCATCCGGTAAACATCGGACAGCGACCACGGGATCCCCTCCCACCGGAACGCCATCCCACAGTCTGCCTTCTGCTTCTCCGGCACCAGGGCGAAGTCGTGAAGCCAGGCCGCCGACCAGTTGACAGCTGCCCGGGTACGCAAAAGTCAAAGCCCTTGCGCAGCCGCCGCTGCTTGCCTTTGCCGCAGTGTCCGTGGACCGTCGACATGGTGACCTTTCGGACCTCCGCCCGAGTCAGATGCTTGTGGCGAAGAACTCCTCCATAAAGCATCCACGCCGTCAGCAAGGCCTGCCAGCGATCATCGCCCTGCATGTAGAGCTCCTCCATTCGCTGCTCCATCCTCAGCAGCATCACGGGCTCTACCACCGCCTGCCCTCTGGGCCCCGCTCGCCTTGCCTGTCGCGCAGGCGGCACGAGCATGCTCAGCCCCAGGTCCACCCTCGCCTGCTTGGTTAACCAGCGTAGCGCTTGGGTAGCTCGGGCCGACGCCGCAGTGCCTTCACATCCAGGTCGACCACCTCCGGTGGCAGGGGTCGGGAGCGTGCATGCATGAAGGCGACCACCTCACCCCACGTGCGCAGCGCATTGATCTCCGTCACCAACCTCTGCGCCAGCCGAGTGCAAGACCCATGCCACTCCCGCCGAAGCTGCTCAGTCAGGGTCCCCGTCGGCTTCATCGCGCCCATGCCCTGCAGCACTTCGCTGAGCCGCTGAACCTGCATCGTGACCGCCCGGCTCGTCTTGAACTGCTCGAAGAGGCCGGAATGGAAGGTGGACAGCCGTCCACGGCCCTCCTCCACCACATCAGCCGCGGCCGGCAGCAGCTCGGACTCTTGCTCGCTCCGAACGAGCACCCATGCATTGGCCAAGTCCCTGCCACCAGTCGCCAGCGCCTCCTCGAAGGAGCGGAAAGCGAACGCAAAGTCCGCATCGCTCTCCAGCCCATGCTCGCGCCTCCACTTGGCGGTGCGCCGAGCGCCCACCGCCGCCAGGGCCGACTCCGGGTCCCACTGCCCGCCGGCGTCCCCCGCCAAGCGGGCGAGCGTAGCTCCCGGTTGGGACAGCCGCCATGGCGCTAAGGATCCCCAGACAGACCAAATGGTTGAAGCATTCCTTGCAGATGGGCCGCTCGTGAACGACATGCCGTGTGAGGGCTCCACAACGCATGCAAGGGGGGGGGGGGGAAATTCGCTCACCCGCTGCAAATCCGGCAAGCCACTGGCCCAGAGCCTTCCCGGCCCACGCCGTTGCTCCATCGCAACTCCCCCAGTCGCCGGAGGGGATTGGCTCATACGCCGGCTCTCTCCAAGAGTCGCGGCCTTCCTGCCACCTCCTCCAAGCCCAAAATACAGCCTCCCGATCGAGGCCACAATCTTCGAGGCCGGCCAACTCCACGTAGCCGATGAAGCGGGCCATGTGGTCTGGGACCAACCTCGGCACTCGCAGGCCCGAGTCAAGGGCCCGAAATCCGCTTCCAAGTAGTCCCGGCCCGCATAGTAGAGGTCCCAAGCATCCGCAGGACCAACCTCTGCTTGAACCAAGACTGCGCGCTTGGTCCATGTCCCGAGCCACGGGAACTGGAAACCGCCTCGCTGCTCCGTGCACCTAGCACACCCTGCAACCACACAGGGGACCTCCCGCAACGGACCAAGGGTGTGGATACGAAACTCCGAAGCCTCAGTTGGGGGGAGGTGCACAACCACCACGACGGCCTTCCACAGCCGGACAGCCTGGTCCCGTTCCCCACGGGTCAACAGTCCTGCCAGGTGGGCCTCGAAGTCCAAGAGGGCCGCCGGGTGCAACATCCGCGCCTGAGAATGGGCACCAAAGGGCCTGCATCAGCGCCAGACATACCAGAGTCCCACTCCAGTAGCAAATGAAAAACCGAAACCAAAAAGGTGTCTGCCAGTTTGGCTCAGTCTTGAGCCAAAATGGCTGACCCATTACAATTGATGATACATGTTCACCCAATGCCTGCCAAGCTGCAAACATGGCATTAAAAAAAAGTTCAAGAGTCATCTCGCAAGCTAAATAGAGAGTCTGGAAAAATGAAACACTTAGTCATCCGCTCAAGGGGAATTACACACAATTTGGCACCCAGCATGGGTGGATGAAAAAAAATACAAGAACACAAGGAAATCCAAAAAGGCGACCAACTCCAACAAAAGGAGCCACAGCGCCAAAATGACTTCTCCCAAGGAGGACATGGAAGCTTAGTGTGTGTTTGTGTGGGTCTTTTTGAGGGTACACCCCGCCCCCCCCCGGCTTTTGTGGTTTTAAAAGAAAACCCAAAGCAACACCGCTGTTTTGTGGGTCCCTTAGAACAGACACGCCCTTGAGTGAGTCCCCTGGTTGTTGTGGGCAAGTTTAAGGTTCCGACCCCGAACCTGGAACTTCCAGAACCCATGGTATTCTGTGCCTCAGCTTCCTCTAAAAGGCCGCTGGAAATACAAAGCGATCAGTTTTTGAACCACTTTAAAACCACTTGAAAAGAGACAACTTCCTCGATCCGCCTCGACATCCCCCACCTCATTTCTCGGGAGCGTCGAGGTGGATCTCTGCACCTCCTCCTGCAAACTCCGAACCTGCCAGGCAAAGGGAAGGATCGACTCGCCGGGATGTGGAAACCCCTCGAAACGGATGGTAATGGGTTTGCAAGCTGGAAATCCACCCCAATGTTTGTTAGGGGGTTAAAGCCATCCAAAAAGGGTACAAAAAGATACCATCGGCGTTCATCCATCCCAGTTGGTGCGTAGGGAAATTCTCCACCGATAGCGGGACATCTTCCACCACATCTCGTGTTGCCAAACATAGAGTGGCTAGAACATCATGCGTCCCAGCCAAGAAAGGCATGAAAAGGTCCCGCTTGGCGCCGCGTAGAAGTTGTTGGCAATTAAAACATCTTGGTGCTCGCTGCTTGCATTGAGTGTAGCTCATGCGTGGATGAGTCAGGACAGTCCTTTTGGAACTCCACAAGGCTTACAAAAAATGTCCGCTTGAAACGTCTAGGAGTGGCCACATTTAGCCTTGGCGGCATCAGCACGCCGTGCTGTCCCGCAACCCAACGTCTTGAAGCAACTGGCACTGAAGCCAATGCCAGCCTCCGCAGAAATACCCTGCAGGAATAGGCTTCAATTCTGTTGAATTCAGCCACTACCAGTTCTGCAAGTTGTTGACATCACCCTGGGCACCGCAGGAGAAGGTGCAGGTCGGCCCTTTCCCCTGGACACCTGGATGTTGCTGGCAGAACTCTCCGATGCCCATCACGTTGACGCAGTCCGATACTTCCAGAGGCTGGGAAAGGTCTGGCTTTTGCACCTTGGGCTCCTCAGTCTCCTCAGGTTGTCGAGTCTCCTCAGGCTGCTCAGGCTGCTCAGGCTCCTCAGGCTGCTCAGGCTCCTCTGCCTCCTGCGCACTGGAGCCTCCACCGATGATCATTTCCCCCGAGTTCTGGAAGTCTTTGATGTGCCCCCTGCTGCTGCAGGAAAAGCTGCAGCTTGGCCCTGTGGCTGCTTTGCCGCGATGCTTCTTGCAAAACTTGTGGATGTCGTGCAAGTTGCTGCAGTCAGACACTTGCAATGGATGTTGAATCGAACCACCGCCAATTGACATGCTTCCGAAGTTCTGCAAGTTGTTGACATCACCCCCGGCGCTGCAGGAGAAGGTGCAGGTCGGCCCTTTCCCCTGGACACCTGGATGTTGCTGGCAGAACTCTCCGATGCCAATCACGTTGACGCAGTCCGATACTTCCAGAGGCTGGGAAAGGTCTGGCTTTTGTGCCTCATGCTCAGGCTCCTCTGCCTCCTGCGCACTGGAAGCTCCACCGATGATCATTTCCCCCGAGTTCTGGAAGTCTTTGATGTGCCCCCTGCTGCTGCAGGAAAAGCTGCAGCTTGGCCCTGTGGCTGCTTTGCCGCGATGCTTCTTGCAAAACTTGTGGATGTCGTGCAAGTTGCTGCAGTCAGACACTTGGAATGGATGTTGAATCAAACCACCGCCAATTGACATGCTTCCGAAGTTCTGCAAGTTGTTGACATCACCCCCGGCGCTGCAGGAGAAGGTGCAGGTCGGCCCTTTCCCCTGGACACCTGGATGTTGCTGGCAAAACTCTCCGATGCCAATCACGTTGACGCAGTCCGATACTTCCAGAGGCTGGGAAAGGTCTGGCTTTTGTGCCTCTTGCTCAGGCTCCTCTGCCTCCTGCGCACTGGAGCCTCCACCGATGATCATTTCCCCCGAGTTCTGGAAGTCTTTGATGTGCCCCCTGCTGCTGCAGGAAAAGCTGCAGCTTGGCCCTGTGGCTGCTTTGCCGCGATGCTTCTTGCAAAACTTGTGGATGTCGTGCAAGTTGCTGCAGTCAGACACTTGGAATGGATGTTGAATCAAACCACCGCCAATTGACATGCTTCCGAAGTTCTGCAAGTTGTTGACATCACCCCCGGCGCTGCAGGAGAAGGTGCAGGTCGGCCCTTTCCCCTGGACACCTGGATGTTGCTGGCAGAACTCTCCGATGCCAATCACGTTGACGCAGTCCGATACTTCCAGAGGCTGGGAAAGGTCTGGCTTTTGTGCCTCTTGCTCAGGCTCATCTGCCTCTTGCGCACTGGAGCCACCGCCAATTGACATGCTTCCGAAGTTCTGCAAGTTGTTCACATCACCCCCGGCGCTGCAGGAGAAGGTGCAGGTCGGCCCTTTTGCCTGGACACCTGGATGTTGCTGGCAGAACTCTCCGATGCCCATCACGTTGACGCAGTCCGATACTTCCAGAGGCTGGGAAAGGTCTGGCTTTTGTGCCTCTTGCTCAGGCTCATCTGCCTCTTGCGCACTGGAGCCACCGCCAATTGACATGCTTCCGAAGTTCTGCAAGTTGTTGACATCACCCCCGGCGCTGCAGGAGAAGGTGCAGGTCGGCCCTTTTGCCTGGACACCTGGATGTTGCTGGCAGAACTCTCCGATGCCCATCACATTGACGCAGTCCGATACTTCCAGAGGCTGGGAAAGGTCTGGCTTTTGTGCCTCTTGCTCAGGCTCATCTGCCTCCTGCGCAGTGGAGCCTCCACCGATGATCATTTCCCCCGAGTTCTGGAAGTCTTTGATGTGGCCCCTGCTGCTGCAGGAGAAGCTGCAGCTTGGCCCTGTGGCCGCCTTGCCGCGATGCTTCTTGCAGAACTTGCCAATGCCATGGAGGTCGCTGCAGTCCGAGACTTGGAGTGTGCCCGCCTGCCCCGAGTGTGGCCAATGCTTGACCATGTCTTTGTGCTGCATCATGCATGATTCATCCCCGAGGGCCAGCACTGCCACCATGTACAGGTGGAAAAGCATGGTGCACTCGGCGGGGAGCTAGAATCAAAAACAAAGCAGGCTTGAAACGCTCGAAAGGCCACAGGCAATCAGGCGATCCATACCCAAACTAACATAACATGCGCGGGTCTTGAGATGTGGGCAGTTTCACAGGTTCGGGTTTTCTTTACTCAAATCAAGGTGAAACGGGTAGCCCAAAAATCACACCACACGGACCCACAAAGGTCAGTGAAGCCTCGGAGAAAACCCTTCTCTGCGCCTGGCTATGCAGCTGCTGAATGATTTCCCGCTGCTTCACGATCAGGGACTGCTCCTGTTCCGCAGCCACGGGGGAGCTGCTGCTCAACAGGGACCCGTCACTTGTTGTCCTTCACGTGCCGACGTGCTGCCAGGGGATCCAAATTCTGTGGTGGACTAATGAAGACGAGCCAGATACTGGGCACTAGAAGTTAAGCGGAGTAGGCCACAACAAAGCCTCGCAGCTCAAATTTGGTAGAGTTGCTTCTTCTCGCAGGGCTGTTTTTTTCTTAGAGCTGGTCACCAGCCTCACTTGGCCCGGGGGTTTCTTATTGGCCTAAACCACTAAAACTCGTTCACAACTCACGCAACAACATTCCTAAAGCAACCCTACAGGCACCGTTTTTCCGGCAGCACACCCAACACAAATCAGCTCCAAGCCAATCCCAAATCAACCCAATGTCAACCCTAAACGCGCCCAACAGCAGCCTGGATGTCAGCCCTAAACCAACCAACCAACCAACCAACCAACCAACCAACCAACCAACCAACCAACCAACCAACCAACCAACCAACCAACCAACCAACCAACCAACCAACCAACCAACCAACCAACCAACCAACCCAGCCCTCGAAAGAAAAAAAAAAAACTCCGGATCCCTCAAGTTTGGTCACTCATGCTCGTTGGAAAGGCTGCACTCTTCGCACAAAACACTCAAAGGCGGTTCAACCGCTGCCAACTCATCAACTGAGTTTGGCAACGCTTGTCAGTGAAGGTTTTGGGAATTCTAGACCTCTGGCCGTTTGTGGTGGATTGGTTCCACTGGCAGCACGGCAAACTCTTCCAAACAAGCAAAACACCCACATCCAAAGTTGGTGAGTACACCCCTGCTCGTAATTGGGCGAGTCCAAAAACTAAGCAGACTGGGCCACAGCTTGCTAGCGCTACACGTCATAGAGTTCGCAGTGACCCGTCAAGCTTGAGAACATGCCACTTCCGAAAGCGATCATCGCACTGCAAGGACGAGCCCTTGCGAAACCAAATTGTGATGTATTGACATGGATTGTTTTGTTGAGCAGGCGGCACTGCACTATGGAAGATGAGTACCGTTTTCCAAAAAGGTGCAGTGGCGAGTCTTTGTTTCCGAGCCACCAAAGTTGGTTCACTCCAGCAGAAGTAGACTGAACCGAGCTAATGGAAGAATGCCAGCTCTTCCCTACGTGCCTCCTGGAACTCAAGGACAAGTCGCAGTCCCTAGGTGGACCCCCCTGGCTTGTCTAACAGAAAACCCAAAGGAACCATTTGAGGGTGTCCGGAATTTTGGAAGCCATCTGCCCCGGACCCGATTGTTGGTCCCGAACTCGGGAATGCTCCTTGCTGATGAGCACAGGCTTCGCCACGCACCGGACCTCTGCGGCCTGGAGGGAGGTGACGGACACATCTTGGCCCATTGGGGCACGCACAAATAATGCAGTCGGAGTCTGTTTTACCTTGCTTTTAGACTACCCCAACATCTTCTGAGACCCAGAAATTGAGTTCCTTTCGGGTTCTACACTCATGGCTGTCTTTTAGTGCAAGCTAAAATCCGTTTATTGGAACCCGTTCGATGCCCCCCCTGCGATTGAATAAAACTCACACCCAAAAGGATTCCCCCCCAACAAAAAATATGGGCCGGGGGAACCGAGCTTGTTCTTTCGAGCAATCATTCAGGTTCCCTGTTGTTGTTTGTCATTTCCTGAAAGGATGGAGCTAGAATGCAAGGAGACTCTACTGCAACATCCCTACTTGCTAAGTGGCCTGCAAGCTGCCTTGAGGGTCAGACAGGATGCTTGAAACTCAAAGTACAGCTTGAAAAAGGTACCAATGTTGGCCCACAAGGATAGCCGCTGTTGGCCATTGCCGCTGGCTCTGCTCCAGTGCAAAAGTATGGGGCACCCCTTGACTTGTTCTTGACTTTCAAGGGAACCCAGCCAAAGGGGAGAGAAATCAGAGGCTCTACTCCGTAAGTTTGCTTGGGATCTCAGCCACAAACGGAAAAATGTGCAAACAACTTAGGTGCCTAAGTTACAGTTGGCATCGGACCCCATTGGATGGTCTGCGAAAGCTACGAGGAAACTACAGACTTGTGATAGGTCCGCAGGAAACGTCCACATGGAGATGAATGTGCTGGGCTTGGAAAGAGGAACCCCGCATAAATTCTGGCAACATCCGTGGTAAACGTTAAATGCGATGTTTCTGGTTGAATCATGAAACATCACCCACCTGAAGCAAGGGCCCCCCACAAAAGGCATCTTCTCAGGGAGGTCACAAAACCCCTCGAGGTCGCAGTGATTTGCGTGGCGCAACTGGTCAAAAACTCCAGGAGACGTGGGGCATGATCATGGTGTCTACCGTCCCTTCACGGTTCCCTTGTCTTTTCCGACTAAGGAACATAGTGCGAAAATGTAAAAACAAAGGCATTTGGTCATGATCATATGAATCATATGGTTTCTTTAGTCGGAAAACCTTTTACTATGGTTGTCTAAACCTAAGGGGTTCACGATCCCTACCAACCTCAAGGTTTTATGGGGGTCTGTCTTTTAGCCCCCCCCCCCCCAAATGGTGGTTTTCCTTCAACCAAAAGGGAGTACCCTGCTCAAAAGAAGACAGCCCCATATGCAACTAGGACTCTTTGGAAGGAACAAAGCCCTTGGGAGATGATACGAGCCGATCAGCCAAGTAAACAAATCCTTCAAGAGGTCCCAGCCCGGATCTCGAGCGAATTCGTCGATTTGAAAGGGAACCTAAGGCAACAAGGGCGCTAGTCTGGGCCCAGATCGGAGGCGAGCTTAGGGTCACAACTTGGTATGTGCCAAATTTTTAGGTGGTCATTGTTCTTACCCCAAGGAAAAAGGCAGAAACCTAAACCCTAAAACCTGCCTTGACCCTAGGGAAACTGGGACTCAAA